AGATCCTGAGCCTTTTCCTCCTCCAGACATGGAACCACCACCACCACCACAAGAGCTAGACCCCCACCCTCCAGAGCTGCTGCCACCCTTGGACATGGAGCCTCCACCACCTGAACTTCCTCCTCCTCCACAGATGGAGCCTCCACTGCCTGAGCTTCCTCCTCCTCCAGATCCCGAGCCTTTTCCTCCTCCGGACATGGAACCACCACCACCAGAGCTGGACCCCCACCCTCCAGAGCTGCTGCCACCCTTGGACATGGAGCCTCCACCACCTGAACTTCCTCCTCCACCACAGATGGAGCCTCCACTGCCAGAACTTCCTCCTCCTCCAGATCCTGAGCCTTTTCCTCCTCCAGATATGGAACCACCACCACCAGAGCTGGACCCCCACCCTCCTGAGCTGCTGCCTCCCTTGGACATGGAGCCTCCACCACCAGAGCTGGACCCCCACCCTCCGGAGCTGCTGCCACCCTTGGACATGGAGCCTCCACTGCCAGAGCTTCTCCCTCCTCCACACCCTGAGCCTTTTCCACCACCAGAGATGGAACCGCCTCCACCTAAGCTGGATCCACCCCCTCCAGAGCTTCCACCTTTTCCCCCTCCAGTGACTGGCCCTTTTGTTCTGCTCCCACTGCTACCACCAGAACTCATTATACCCTTCCCACTTTTTATGCCTCCAAAGACTCCAGAAGCTCTGGCATTGTGGTCGATGACACCTGCAAGAAATGGAAAATTACATTCAATTTATTCTTTTTACCCCAAAAAATTCTGAGCAGGGCTGATTTAAGCATCATCCTTCCTACCCTGGTGTTCATGGACTTATCTTTGAAGGGGCCAACAAGAATCTCCCTTAGTAGACATCAACCTATGGAATATTTTCTCATTTTTCTGGGATTTTTAGCTTTTTTTTAAACATCATTTATGTCTTATTTCACCCATGAACACTCAGTGCAGACTATTCTTTACAAAGGCCAAGACTGTGTTTCTCTCTCCTTCAGCTTCCTCAATTTTCCCACAAATTTTAGGACTAGTTTTTAATTCCTTCCCTTCTGCCCTGCATCAAACAGACCTATAGGTTAAATGCAGTGTTTCACATTTCCTCCAAATTTATTAGGAATTAGCCAATAATTCTGAAGCCACTTGTTACATTAATGTGTGTTCACCAACTCCCCTTTGCGTCCTTTCCTGAATTAAGATGGGAACTGGGATAGTTTGTTCCAATGGTGTCAAGACCACAAAGTAGGAACAGTTTCCTGTGAAAAGCCCTGAGAAAATCCTTGGGATACTCACATATCGTGGCTGGTGATCCTTCCTGGATCCTGTGGAGGAAAAGCGACATTGAGGTAAGGCAGCCAATAAAATCAGAATTAAAATTCAGGTTAGGCTTTATCAGTGATCTGCAGAAAGGCAACTCCTCCCAGGCGCAGTGCATCCCAGAGATCGCAGTGACAGATGCATGGACATGCTGCTTTGTCTGGGTGTTTCACCCAGGATGGATTTTGCCCCCACCTGTTCTCCTCCTCCTCGAGGAGTGAGCGATACATGGCGATCTCAATGTCCAGGCCCAGCTTCACATTCAGGAGCTCCTGGTAATCACGGACAAGCTGAGAAAGGTCATCCTTGGCCTGTTGGAGGGCATTTTCCAGCTCCTCTAGCTTTTCCTGGCCATCCCTGACGGCTGAGCTCCCACGGTGCTCAGCATCTTTAATGGAGTCCCGAAGGCTGGAATTCTGCAGAAGGAACAAAGGGAACATGATCACGTCCAATCTGTGGGGAGGATTTTATAATAGAATAATGGAATATCCATTGTCAGGAGGGAACCACAGGAATCATCAAGTCCAACTCCTATCCCAGCAGAGGAAAACCCCCAAATCCCACAATTTTCATACCCTCCTGGCATTCCTTGGAAATCAAAAGGTTTTTCTCAGTGACAGAACAGCAAAAATACATTGGACTGGGTAAATAAACACAATTAAACCCCAATATAGGTTCCAAAAATCTAAATCTGCTTCAACTGGAAGAGAAAACTCCATCCCTAAGTTTGTCTCCAAACAACTGGCTGCTACATACTGCACTGAGATCCCATGGAAAAGGGGCTTAAGCCATTTAGTCCTGCTGTAAAGTATCAGCTTTACCCTTTTCCTTGCAATTTCAATTTCTGGTTGGAGTCTTTGGATGTGTCTGGCAAGTTCCTGGATTTCCTGGTGACTGTTCCTCAGCTGCTCTTGTTGACTCACCCACATGTTCTGCAGGTCCTGGTACTGATGGGAAGAGGACACAACACATTTTTGGTTTCTTTTCCAATGAGGAGATTTGTGTTCCTGTTTCCCTGGTGTGCACTCACCCTGCCCCGGTACATGGCATCCACTTCAGCTGTGCTCCTGTGGGCTATCCCCTCGTATTCCCGCCTGACCTCCTCGATGATCCCATCCATGTTCAAGTCCCTGTGGTTGTCCATGGACAGAACAACATCAACGTTCCCAGCAACCGTTTGCAGCTGGGACAGCTCCTGCAGGGAAAACCAGATTAGGGATTTTAACAGTCCTTGTGGTCAGTCCAGGTCTTTATGAGGAAAAAAATGGGACCTTGTGGCAAATTTCCCACTGGAATTTCTCCACCTGCAGCCCCCAGGTACCACTGTACCCCCACCACTTGTAATTTGCAAGGTCTTCTAGCCTTTGGGACACACCAGACCCTTTTTCACTCACAAAAGGCCAAGGATAATTAATTCTCCAAGCCAAAAAATCCCACCCAAGCAAAATTTCTGGGAATCTCCAGAGGGTGCGTCCTTCAAGACCTGAGGGTAAGATTTGAATCACTCACAGCTTCATATAAACACCGGAGGAACTCCAGCTCCTGCCTCAGGATATCCGCTCGGACATCAAACTCCATTTTTCCCATGTAGGCACTATCCAGTTCCTGTAAAAAACCCCAAAAATATTGTAATATATTTGCATGTTGTTGACCCAAATGCTCCACTGAAGCGCAATTCTTGGGGTATTTCCATAAAGCCTCCATTCCTGGGATCAAATAGTGGCCTAGAGATCTCAGATTTCATTTGAAAAGCAAGAGGAACAAAGGGAAAGCATTTAAGATTAAAAAATTGGCTGGGAAATGAGTACTACAGCTGCAGCAATAAATCCGTTCCTGGGGAACATGAGAAATGAGAAAACACAATTTTCATTCATACTTCTAGTAAAAGGTTGTCTAAATTTTCTCTTCACAGATAGTTTTATTTTTCTAAGCCATCTACAGATATTATTTAACTTAATGACAGTATTCCACCTGGATTGGGATTGGGTGAATAGGGAAAAAACAGCACTTTTTAGATATTTGTCCTACAAAGGACTGATTCATTCTCTAGAGGAAATAATCCATCCTCAGTCTTGTTCTGGTTTTCATTTACTTTGGTTAAAATTATACAAAGCTCAATAAAAACTTCAGCTTTTGAGAACTTTGGCAACCATCCAAATATGCTTTTATTTCCATGGCTTTGATTTGCTCAGGATCTCAGGTTAATTCACCTTTTTAAGCTCCACAAACTCCTCCTCCTTGGATGTGCGTTTGTTGATCTCATCCTCGAATCTGGGGGACAGAAGGAAGTAGATTATTATCTATTATCTATTATCTATTATCTATTATCTATTATCTATTATCTATTATCTATTATCTATTATTAATTAATATATTTAATTAATATATTTAATTAATCTATCCATTACCTTTAATTTTTGATATTAATTGTTAAGTCAGGTGAACCAGTAAACAACAGAATCAACCAAAGACTGAATGTGTTGAGTTTTCATTTTACTTTAATTGCAATTTCTGGCAAATGGCAGAAATTTTCTCCTCCGCAAAAAGAGGCGCTAAAACAGCCTAAAAAATGGAGTCAGTACAGATCACTTCTAAATTTAGTAATTTTGAGATAAACTTTCCATTTTTCAGAGCTGTGGGTGGACGTAAATTATATAAGCCAGAAAAGGTGACAACTCTTCCCAACTTGACTCCAAGCTCAGCTCTGTCCCTTCCCACCAGAGCCCCATGAGTGGAATCTTGGGTCACTCACTGCTAGGGGGGAGAAAGAAAAGGAAGAGTCTGGGAAGGAAAAAAGATGGGAGAGATCATCACAAACTTTGGTTTTCCTCTCCTTTTTGGGAGTTCAACCCTTACCAAACTCTTCCAGCATCAAAGTCAAGCCCCATAATGCACCTGAAGAAGAGCAGGGCTAACAAACTCCCAACTGCTGCAGACGCAAAGCTGAGCTTTGCCATCCAAGGGCACAATGGGCATCACCTAGGAAAATCCTAGCACCTGTTTTCCCAGATTTGTGACTATTCACCTGTTTTTATAATCCTCAACAAGCTGGAGCATGTTGTAGGCCTCAGGATCCAGCTGCTCCTTCTGGCTCTGGAGCGTCTCGAGCTGCCGCTGCAGGTTGGTGATGTAGGCCTGGAAGAAGCTGTTGATGTTCCTGCTCTCCTCAGGGCCAGAGCTTTGCTGCTGCAGAAGTTCCCACTTGGCCAAGAGTGCTTGATTCTGCCGCTCCAGACATTGAACCTGAGAGGTGAAGCAGATCCAGAGGGGCTGCATGTCTCCAGTGGGCATCTCTGCCATGGAGACAGGCTGGGAGAGCTGGGGGTGCTCACCTGGAGAGGAGAAGGGAAAGGAGACCCTGGAGCCCCTTCCAGTGCCTAAAGGGGCTCCAGGAGAGCTGGAGAGGGACTGAGGACAAGAGCCTGGAGAAAAGAGACAAGAGGGAATGGCTTCCCAATGCCAGAGGGCAGGGATAGATGCAATATTGGGAAGAAATTCCTCCCAGAGAGGGTGGTAAGGCCCTGGAATGGATTTCCCAGAGGATTCTCCATTCCTGGAAGTGTCCAAGGCCAGGTTGGATGGGGCATGGAACACAGGGGTCTACTAGAATGTGTTCCTGCTCATGGCAGGAATTGGATGAGCTTTAAGGTCTCTCTCAACCCAAATCACTCCACAATTTCTATAATATTGACCAGGTGATAACCTGGACACCCAAAAGTTTAGGAGGGAAAGAAGAGTCACAGACATGCTAATTTTTCAGGACTATGGAATCTTAAACCTCCTCAGTGTAACCAACATGTCCTGTCCAGTGAAATAGAAACCCTGAAGTCTCCACATGTAAAAGAGAGAATCTGAGGCAGAGACACCTCCCAGATACCAGCGGGATGGAAGAGCTTTTGTGGTGGGTTTGAGTAGATGCAGAAGAGAAGACAAAACTGTAGAGATGGAAAATAATGAAAAAGCTGAAGATGGACCACCTAGTAGAGGGCAGGGCTTTCAACCAAGAAGTGATTTGTTTAATAATTCAGAGAAATTTAATTCATTGCAATTTCTGGTAAGTACAAACCCCTGCAAGAAAGGCACTAAAACTGCCTGTTCTTGCAAGGTTTGGCTTTGCTTGAGAAAAAAAAAATAATAACTCATCAAGATGTCCAAGTCCCTCACCCATTTTTTTTTTTTTTTGGCACCAACAACCTTCAGGCACCGGAATATAGGAATATGTATTCCCAGAAACCCCTTTCCTCAAAAGAGGAGTGAGTCTGTGTGCCGGTGACATCTCGGTAGTTTACTGTCCTGCCACAAAAGACAACTCCAAGATCTTTACCCCAAGGCAAAAAGTGATTCACAGAGCAGGGACCCATTGTGAGTTTCACAGTAGCATTGGGAATTCAGCCAGTGCTGGGATTTTTTGGGGGGAGAAGGTAGAACATGAAGGTGTCCCCATGACTCACTCCTACCTTACACTTCCCCCTTTCCAGATAACAGCACAGAGACCAGGACTCACCTTCTCAATGAATGAAGCAAATTTGTTGTTCAGAGCTTTGATCTGCTCCCTCTCATCCGAGCGCACTCGCTGGAACTCGGGGTCCACCTGGAGCCGTATTGGCCTCAGCAAGTTGGTGTCCACATGGACCTCCTCAATGCCTCGGAGAACTCCAGCCTGTCCCAGTCCCTGCCCAGCCCCTTGTACCCCTATGCCAAGGCCTCCTCCAAGTACCTCCCTGCCTGAACCTCCTCTGTAGGTGCCACCAAGCCCTGTTCCACCACTTTGAAAACCTCCCACAAAATATCCTCTTCCGCCAAAGCCCGTCTCAGGCTGTCTCCAGCCACCAAACCCAAGGCATCTCCCATATCTTACTCCTTCTCCTCCATAGCCTCCATGAGTATAGACATTCCTGAACCCTCCAAGGTTGTGGAGGCTCCTGCTGCCATACCCATGCCCAAACCCTCCGAATCTCCCATCTCCACCACCCAAGGTCCCGCAGTGAGCAGAAGAAGAACTGAAACTCCTGTCCCCATATCCGGAGAAATATCGTCTCATGGCAGCACTTCCAGGTGGGAGAGCTGATGTAGAAGGTGGTAAAACAGGAGGAGAAATGAGAATGAAGGATCCTCAGGTACTCCAGAGGAGTATGGAAGTTCTCCTTTATACGTTCTGGAGGAGCTCATCTCCATTCCGTAGTAATTAGCAGGTCTCTAATGTTGTTATTAGGTTTGGTTCATCAGGCAGCAATTAATGGCTGCCCAGAAAGGTCAGATAAACACCAGCACCAGTGGGGCAGTTGTGAAATATCCCAAATCCCGCCTGACTCATGAGCTTTGCTGACAGATCTCCTTATCTCATTAACCTCCATCCGTAATTACAGTTACCCCCGCTCATCCCCACAGCTCATTCTCTCCCATATTTCCCCACCTCTTTTGGTATTTCAAGGGGCACAAGACCTTGATTGTCCTTGGGGGTGTCTGACCCTTCACTGCATCACCAGGAGCACCTGCTGCACCCTTTGTTTCCAATTCCTGTCCTTCTCTCTTTCTCAGAATATCCCAGGAGCAACTTTTGCTTCTCACCGGGAGGATCCATCCCTCTCCCCATCTCTGTGCCAGACTCCACCTCTCCAGCACTCAGTGGCTATGGACACATGGAAAAGCATTTGGGAGCCAAACCCCACTGCTGGCAGCACCACTTGGAGGCTCCAGCCTGGGTTAATTTCTTGAAAAGTCAACAAGATGTGGTTCCTACAAAACTACCTCTGGAACCGCATCCCCGCGGGAAGAACCTCCTCTCTGACCCTTACATGACTTAAGGAGGAGCTGGACTTCACCTGGCAGGATTCTCTTCCTCCCAAAGGAACTGGATGAAACCAGGCTGAGAATCCACTACACATAGAGGTTCTGTGGTCAGGGCTGTGCAATCCTGGCTCCATTTGGAAAGTGCCTCATAAACTCCCTAAATTAGGGGGTTGTAGCTGGAGGTTATTAAAACAGCTGGAATATCTCAAGGTGGACAAGACTTTGGATGCTCAGAGACTTTTCTCACCCAGAAACACAGTATTTTCCAGGAAAACAGCTGAGAAATCCACTTTTCCCTACCAAAATCCCCTACCTCACCTTACACCAGGAAAAGCCAAACTGGTATCTCAGATCTTCCTTCTGTGCTAATTTTGTAACTAAATTTTGCTCATTATCAACATTTCCTGAAGAAATTCAACCATATTTCCAGCTGATTTCCCCCTTTTTATAAACCTCTATAAAAATCTGACTTGGATTGAGAATTCTGTCTCCTGCAGGAATTAATTACGATGAACATTAAAAAATGGTGCAATTAGCAGTATTTTTAAAGCCGAGGAGAGGGGAGGGAACTCCTGAAGGAGACTGGAAAGGTTGGAGCCAGGTGGGGTGTGACTCTTCTCCCAGGTTATGAGGGACAGAATGAGAGGAAATGGCCTCAAATGGTGCTAGGTTTAGGTTGGAAACTGGGGGAAATTCCTTCCTGGAAAAGGCTGTCCAGCCCCAGCACAGCTACCCAGGACAGGGGTGGAGTCCTCATCCCTGGAAGTGTCCGAGAAATGTGCGGATGTGGCACTTGGGGACACAGTCCGTGGTGGCCTTGGCAGCGCCAAGGAAATCATTGGACCCAATGATCCCAACCTAAATGATGCTGTGATTCAGAAGGGCTGGTGCTGGCTCCAGTGCGATTCCCCTCTCCACCCCTCCTCTTCCCACTTTGTAAGTGCCTCATTCCAGAGCTGCACTGGCAACACTCCAGGTAATCCCCATGGATCATGGAAGGAAGTGTTGTGACCCCAGAGAGTGGAACACCTGTGAGAGACTGCCCATCCCAAAATCCTGCCGTGTGCAGCAGCTGAAGTGAACCAGGTGTGAATTCTGAGCTCTCTGTAGCAGCTGGAGCCCAGAGCCCGAGCAAAGAGAGCAGCCATCCCACCCCACGTGCCGTAACCCAGAGTGTGGGCAGCTGTTGTGATCGCAGCTGACACCGGATCAGCCTTGGCAGCACATCCCAACCACACCTGGACCTGTCAAGCTGGCTCCAGAAACAGGGATGCATCCCAAGAGGTGTCCACGCATCCTGTGGATGAAAGGGGAGCTTCCTGTCATTCCCTCCTCTTTCTGACACAGCTGGGACAAAGAGATCACAGGTTCATCCATCATCCGTCCCAGGGAGATGGGTTTTCATGGGACCAGGGTGGTACAACCACAGGGTCAACCTGGCTCTTTGTCTTGGGATTTTAAGGATAAGTTTAAATTGCATCCCAAAACTTGATCCATTAAAATTGCCTGCCTGGGCACCTTGTGGAGCTGTTGGAGCAGGGACTGAGGGCCCCTGTGTTGTCCTGCCCATCCAAAGCAGTACCTGGGGCAGGTGGGGAAGGTAGGGAAGTTCCTCCCACCTGGAAAAGACTCTGAGATGGTGACACGGGTGTGACCTTTTGTGGACAATGAGGGAACCAGAAGAGCACCAGGATGGACATGTTGGAGACATCTGGGAATTTAAAGACAGACCTAAACTGGAGATTTTTGAGCACAACCTGCCAAACTCCATCAACCTCATCCACTTTTGTCCACCTTCAACTCAAACCCTAAAATGGACTAATAAATCCCAGTTCTCAGGCTGATGCTCAAGGAAACACCTCAACATTCCCACAGGATCATCTAAATCAGCTCAAAATAAGGTCATGGAAAGGTCTGGGTTGGGAGGGACCTTAAAGCTCATCTAGTTGTGCCATGGACAGGGACACTTTCCATTATCCCAAGGAGCTCAAAGCCCTGTCCAACCTGGCCTTGGACACTTCCAGGAATGGAGCATCCTCTGGGAAATCCATTCCAGGGCCTCACCACCCTCTCTGGGAGGAATTTCTTCCCAATATTGCATCTATCCCTGCCCTCTGGCATTGGGAAGCCATTCCCCCTTGTCTTTTCTCTCCAGACTCTTGTCCTCAGTCCCTCTCCAGCTCTCCTGGAGCCCCTTTAGGCACTGGAAGGGACTCCAGGGTCTCCCTTCCATCAGACCAGATTGCTCCAAGCCCCATCCAACCTGTTCTTGAGCACCTCCAGATGAGGCAGCCATAAACTCTTCAGAAAATAGAAAGAACTAAAAGAAGAAGGGGAAAAAAAGAACTACAGAAAACACAAAACCTAAAATTACTAAAATCCTGAGGGTGTCTTGGAAAACAATATCCTAAATACAAATGAAGGATCTTTGCAAGCCCCACTGGCAGAACAGAGTGAATAAATAAGGATATCAGTGCACTTCTGACTATTCAAGATGAATTCCAGAGCCATACAGTAGCACATGAAGAAATACAGTATTTAAATTTAATAACTGCCCCAATGAAGGAGATAAATGAGCACAAGAGAGATCTTGATCTCCAGCTGCCATAGTTCCTGCATAATTAGGGCCCTCAGTCACTTGGAACTGGGGCTGGGATGACACAGACACACTCATAAAAATGCCTGTAGCCTGCAGACTTTCCTTTTCTCCCCCTCTCCCTCCCTGGAATAACCACAAACTCTCCCTGTGGTCAGCGAAGGACTTGGAGAAGGAAAAAAAAAGGAGAGAAAAATCAAAAAACCTTGTGTTTTTTGCAGAACAAGAAGTGAAACGTTGATACTCTCCCAAAGTTTATCCTATTCTAAGCCTGAGGTTTCCCAGACGCAAGAATATATATATTGTCCTAATGATACAGATAGTCCAAAGTGGATCCCACATTCATCCTTTAGGGGACAGGGAGACCAGATGGAGTTTCCCTCACACAGACCTAGAGCTGGGTGACACTGGATGTTGCTATTAAACCCCAGAGAAAAAAAACCACTATCAGGGAATTTTTAGAATTCTATGAATTCTCAACACTTTGTGATAAATAGTGAAGTTTTCTGGTGAGAAAACTAACTGGAGGGGATCTGGGAAGGCTCTAAATGGGAGGGATTTGTCCTGTGCAGACAGGCAGAGCTCAGGTGGTTGGGAATGACTTTGGTGGGGGATACCTTCCTTTGCCTTTGTTGAACAGCAGTGTTTTATGTTGGAATTGTGGGAGCTGGGGCAGGGAGTGCAGGGAGGGAAAGGAGCATCAGAAGCTGCTCCCCAACATGAATGGAAGGAAGCAGCTGGGGGATCACAGAATTCCAGAGCAGGAGGAATGACTCTGCTACCACAGAAGAATTTTATTTGGAGGGGAAGGAGGACATGAGAAGATGAAGTGGAAATCAGGATTCTGCAGCAGCACAGAATAATCTGGTAGAGGTTGGAATCAAGTCCGAGACCCAATGAGAGTGAGGGAAGCAAAGGAGATCGGTGTGGGAAGGGCTGGAAAGCCCTCAAAGAGTAGGAAGAGCTTCCCCAGAGCCAGAAACATCTGTGCAGGGACTGGCCACAACCTCTCCCTGTGCTCAGCAAAGGCAGGAAGGGAAATGCCAAAAACATGGTAATTTTTGCAGGAAAGAAAAGGTGAAATGCCCTGGTGAGAACTTTGAACTGGAATTTTGACTTTGAGAAGGCGAGAGAGGGCTTCCAGAGTGGATTCCACCAAGAGAGGGAAGGGAGGTCATCACCTCCAGGCGCAGACAGTCCTGGTGTTGTCCCTGAGGGAGGGGGTCTCTGGTGAGGCTCATTTAGGGACCAACGACCCAAAACCTGACTTTAATTTGCAATCCTCTTAACAAGGGTCTGATGGCTCTTTTAATCTCTTTTAATAAATGGTTCATGACTTGCGATGGACAGGAAGGTAAGACAATAATGTCCTCAATAACACCCTTGATATTAAATCACCAATTCAGAAAATAACAACATAATTATGATACCATTTTTATTATATCAGTTAATCTCGTCTTTCCCTGACAATAACGTGAAAGTTTATTAATTAAAT